TCAATGCTTTAAAGAACCACAAGCAACCCGACCACAAGCACCGAGCCTGGGAGACAAATGAAAGGAAAGGAGACAAGTGAAAAGAAGTAGGAGACAAATGAAAGGAAGTGCGAGACAAGCCAGCCAGGAACCCGACCACAAGCACCCAGCCTGGGAGACAAAAAATGAAAAGAACTGGGAGACAAATGAAAAGAAGTGGGAGACAAATGAAAGAAGTGGGAGACAAATGAAAGCACGTGGGAGACAAGCCAGCCGCAAACCCGACCACAAGCACCCAGCCCGGACAAATGAAAAGAAGTGGGAGACAAATGAAAGGAAATGGGAGACAAGCCAGCCGGGAACCCGACCACAAGCACCCAGCCTGGGAGACAAATGAAAAGAAGTGGGAGACAAATGACAGGAAGTGGGAAACAAGCCAGCCGGGAAGACAAATGAAAAGAAGCATTTCTCTCCCACTTTTTCCCCAAACAGTTTACTGTTGGGGTTTCTCAATTCTTTCTTAAGACGTGTCCGCCCTTTGTGCCACTGCTGGTGTCCGCCCATTTCCACTGGCCATGTAACATTTCTATTCATCCGTCTCCCAGGTGTGTCACTGCCGGCGTCCGCCCTTATCCGCTGGCCATGCAGCATTTCTATTCATGTGTCTCCCAGGTCTGTCACTGGTGGTGTCCGCCCTTTTCCGCTGGTCGTGTAGCATTTCTTTGCATTTGTCTCCCAGGTCTGTCACTGCTGGCGATGCAACATTTCTATTCATTTGTCCCCCAGGTCTGTCACTTGCGGTGTCCGCCCTTTTCTGCTGGGATGCAACATTTCTATTCATTTTTTCCCAGGTCTGTCACTGCTAATGTCGCATGTCTGTTCATTTGTCTCCCAGGCCTGTCACTGGTGGTGTCCGCCCTTTTCTGCTGGCCATGTAGCATTTCTATTCATTTGTCTGCCACATCTGTGTCCGCCCTTTTCCGCTGGCCATGTAGCATTTCTATTCATTTGTCTCCCAGGTCTGTCACTGCTGGTGTCCGCCCCTTTCTGTTGGCCATGTAGCATTTCTATTCGTTTGTCTCCCAGCCTGCACTGCTGGTGTCCGCCCTTTTCCGTTGGTCATGTAGCATTTCTGTTCTTCTCCCAGGTCTGTCACTGGTGGTGTCCGCCCTTGGACGCTGGCCATGTAGCATTTCTCTATTCATTTGTCTTCCAGGTCTGTCACTGGCGTTGTCCGCCCTTTTCCGTTGGCCATGCAGCATTTCTATTCATTTGTCTCCCAGGTCTGTCACTTCTATTCGTCTGTCTCCCAGGTCTGTCACTGGTGGCGTCCGCCCTTTTCCTCTGTTTCTATTCATTTGTCTCCCATGTCTGTCACTGCTGGTGTCCCCCCTTTTCCGCTGGCCATGCAGCATTTCTACTCATTTGCCCCCCAGGCTTGTCACTGGTGGTGTCCGCCCATTTCCGCTGTTTGTATTCATTTTTCTCCCAGGTCTGTCACTGCTGGTGTCCGCCCTTTTCCGTTGGCTATGTAGCATTTCTCATTTGTCTCCCAGGTCTGTCACTGCCAGTGTCCGCCCTTTTCCGCTGGCCATGCAGCATTTCTATTCATCTCCCAGGTCTGTCACTGCTGGTGTCCGCCCTTGTCCGTTGGGC